CAGCTAAAGGGGACTCTTGTCCGAGCATGGGAGTCGACCTGGTAGCAGAAGTGGACAAGAAATCATGTCGATGTGGTTCAAGTTGTTCTGAAAACGGTGGTGCAAGTATGTCTCATTCCGAAAGTGCTGGTATGGAAATGAAGATTTTCGCAGAATTTGACATGCCACGCAGCAGAGGCATCCTTCACGGGTGGGAAGGGCGGTCTGAACCGTGCAAGCCCCAAACTTCCCCCGTTAGCTGCCTAAGTATCCGAGTGTGAGTGCTGAACCCTAAACCCTCAGCCCCTAACCCAATTACAAGTTGCATGATATGGATTGCAACAAGCTGACGGCGCAAAGCGGCATTTTGCCGATGCATGAAGTTGGAGACAATAGTTTTTGAAGACTGCAAACACCGATGCACCAATGCTGACTGCGGAACCGCAATACGCTGGAGATGACTGCAGTGAGAACTTGAGCAGAACGGACAAAAACTGTCTGTGACAATTAGGTGCAGTGCTCTGAAGTGAATTGATTCCAACTTAGATTGCCAGTCTTGGCCTTATCAGTGCATGCACTCGAGAGATGTGAACAGAGCGAGCTGAAACCAGGCTTGACTGGAAGCAACCTCGAGGAACTGTTGAATTAGCTCCTAGTACATAAAGCGTGAATGCAGCTGATGCAAAGTCAACTGTTCTTCTGAGATACCCTGCAATGCGGGCTTCGTCCTTTCTAGGTAGGAGGGAAAAAAGCCCCTAAACCCTGTCAGACTGGTTCCATATGTCAGACCTCGCGAGCGGGCATCGACTTCCAAGCAATGCGAGAGGGGAAAAAACCCTAAAGCTTTCGAGCAAAGCCCGAGACACTCATCCCATCCCGATTGCCTTCTCAGGGCCTCTCAGACGCGGACCGCCAGTGGGTTCAACGACAGGGCTCCCGCGTAACCGCTTTGGCTTCAGGCCGGAAATCGAAGGAGTTTGGTTCGCTTAGGGTTTAGGGTCTACGTAGGGACGTAGGGCGACGCCAACAGAGCAACAACATCCTGCAGATCATTGGATAGGAAGAACTGCAGCACCCAGGCATCTGAAAGCATGGAGATATACTGAAAGCCAACTTCAGTACGTCTCCAGTGAAGCATGCAAAGTCCTCGATAAGATCAGTCATCCCTTGTAGTATGCATCACTCGTTCGTGGTTCTCATCGTTCTTGCGTTGCTCATGTGTGCATCCGCGAGGTCTCCTAAGGTGATTGAGGAAGGCTCTGCCCCAGAGCTTCGCTCGCGGCATACACTCCAAGTCCGTGCTTAACAAAGGGCCTACATAGGGTGTACATTGAGGGCCTTTATTAGGGTTCTTGAGGGTTTGTGATGATGCCAGTTGCGAACTTGGGAGCTTCGACCTTTGCTGGGATTGATAGGGTTCAGGCACATCAGGGTCAGCCTCAAAAGATGGGATTGAAACGGGAGCACTTCGAGCTTAAGTGCTTCATGTTGTCAGCGAAAGCCTAAGCTTTAAACATGTAAGATGGTTTCCAGCCGGAGCTGTTTGCTTTTCGTTTGACTGCTCATCGTAACGGCTCAGGATGTGTCGGGGTTTTCAGTTTACGCTGCCCTATAGGCCCCAAACCCTGACCCAACTGGGATCCTAGGTGGTTTATGGTTCTTGGTGACTGCCGAAACCTAAACCTATAGCAAGCCTTTATCATAGTACTGGGGTTATCATCCCTTGCAGAAAACCATGAGGAATCCTGATAGAATCCAAAAGCACGCTAAGCTAAACTCCTGACAAAATCGCGCCCGCAGGTGGCTTTGATCTGCTCAGCTCCTCGGACGACTCGCGCTTTGGGGTTTCTGGCTTCGGGCCTCGGGTTTAGAGGGGCGAATGTTGAAGGAACCATGTTCAGCCCATTTCTAACTTCTAACTAAGCCTTCTGCCGTGGTTTCCGTTTCTAGTTGTGTTGTTCTCTGTCTCTGCTTCGTCCTTGTTTCTATTTGTGTGTCTCTCTCTCTCTCTCTCTTCTCTCTCTGTTTGTGCCTCTGTCTCTTTGCGGACTCTTCTCCTCTCTCTATCTCGGGTGCTGCCCTGCACACCGATGATATCCCATCACCGTGCATCCTCCAAGCTTTGCGTTGCTTCTGGCCGAGCCTGAACCGCTGTCTAGCTCATCACAGGTTGCGAGGAGTAGGTTGGTTCGGGTTACAGAAGAATAGCAAGTCCAGGCAATACCGGCAGTGTAGGGGATTTTCTGACTATAGGACAGGATTTAGGGGGTGGTACATGTTTTCTACAATAAGTATAGGTGGAACCCCCCAGGAAAGAATGGGTATATATACATATATATATATATATATATACATATACATATACATACATACATGCATGTATATGTTTGTGCACATACGTTTTTATTTACATGTGTATACGCGTATAGAGTGTACCAGGCTTCTGTATTACCTCAGCTCGAAGAGTCTAAGAGAATGCAGGGCTGATCCTGCACTGTCTGCATGCAGGGCCCGGTCTGTGGATCGTAACAGCGTCAATCACCATCAAGAGCCAGGCTTTAGGGTTAAGGTGGGGTTCGGGATCTATAGCATGGTCGGGAAGATCTCTATTTGACACTTGCTTCGAGCTGTGCTTCAGACCAAGTTCTCTGGCTGCAACTCCGGCTGAAAATGAGACAAGCTGACCCATGCACTCTTCCCAGGAGCATGTCACTGTATCCCAGACGCCTGAGCCCCTCAACAGTAGACTTTAAGCCTTGAGTCATTGAGGAAATACCGGACCTTTGCGCGACTTTCTGGAGCAGCACCTTGGGCGCGACTGGCACACGCAACAGTCGGGCCTGGATCCAGGCACGTTTCCGAAGTTCCCTTGCGCGTTGGGGCTTAACATAGCAGCCCCAATAACTAGATTTGTTCCATGCACCTCTCCCTCCGTGCCTGAACATTGAGTACATGGATGCGGAGCAATCATAACCACATGACTTCTGCTATAACTTCTCTGGCCCATAAGGCTTGAGGGAGGTTTGGACGGGCCCTACATGCGTTACCCATGAAGCCGTCACCCTTGCACACGAAGTGCGAAGGCCCGATCACTCTTTCTTCAAGCTTCGTCGGCTAGCCGTTGCGCGTCACAGTCGCCGGGCTCTTCTGTCGTCGTGACCGCCTTCGTCGTCGGAGTTATGCCAGTTCTGCTCTGCCGTCCCAGCAAAAACCTCATCTCGGGTTAAGTTGAATGCAAAGTTAAAGGCTTCTGTATCTTTCCGATGGTACATTGCAGCAAGGTTCTGAAACGCTGGGAGACTTGCTCGAGTGATTACAAGCATGACAGGAGCGGTGGATAGATGGGTGGACGAACGGGAGATTCCTCCTGACTCGCGGCCGCAGGGAGAGCGGCAAAGTCTTGTGTTACAAACTACTACCTATAGTCTCCATTGTAGTTCCTTTTTTGGGTTACCTTATAGGATCCCTAATATATACTTGGTTAAACCAAGAAAAGGAACTACAATGGAGACTATAGGTATATTAGGGTCCCGCATTTTCGGAAACTCCCAAACCGGCCTAGAAGTCTAACGTTCAAGCATCGTTGCGGGCAGGGCTGTAACGAAGAAGGACTCAGGCTAACAGCAGCATCGGGTAAGCTGCGCAGCTTGACGAAGAAAGCATGTAGAAGTCGGAACAATTGGTAATATTCTGCCCTCACGGTCCCCATATAGATATGCTATATTGTCACCAAAGGCCTGTTCGATGCATTCACGCCATAATTTGGGATTGCAAAAATTGCGCATGCCATCTGGAACCAGCTTAGCAAGCACTCCGACCCAAGTGCGCTTCCCTGCGCTTCCCGGGCGGCGCGATACATTGCCCCGCTGTTCTGATGCATCCGGTGGACTATGGCCTTCTGCACGCAGAGAACCTCAGTGTATGGGACAAGATGGAAGAGAAGCAGCTTTTGGGTGCCACAGCCAGGAGATGTTTCCAATACTTCAGCTTCGCATCGGCAGGCTTCCTGTGGGCTCTGTCGACTTTGTGTATTTGTGTCTACGGTGCAGTTTGTCCGAATGTGGGCCTAGTCGACGTGTACGGTGGCAAGGCCACTCGCATGGTCGCGCTGATGGTGGGTTTGGCCAGCATGTGTTCCATGAGCGCAACAAAGGCAGCCAAAAACCTTTTGGAAAGCAGGGAATTTGGACAGTTGCTGACACATTACGAAACTCAACGAGCTGAAAGCGCCATCTCGCAGCGCGATGTTCATGATTATGGCTTCGAGTGTCCAGGTCAATCTGTCTTGCTTTGGTTGAAAGATGCTATGCTCTATGGCCTAGTGTTCGGTATCTCACTTCGCCCCACCTTCGCATCAGATAAGAGTTACTTCATAGGCTGCCTCATGTTGGTTGGATGGATGGCGGTCTATTCACCTGGCTACAAACATGTCTTTCGTCAGGTCAAGAAATTGAGCAAGTGCCTCGTGCAAGAGCTCATAGATGACATACATGATGGCCCTGAGAATTGGAATGGCTCCGGAAAGTTCTGGCAGGACATGACGAAGAAGCACCACCGTATGGATCTCAAAATTGAGAGTGCCTGGATGCTTGCCACCTGGGTTGTTGTACCTGATGTGGCTCATCTGGTGCTTTCTGTAATGATTGCTTTGGTGGCTTGCTTGTCTGCAGCCGTCCACAGTACGAGCGTGGTTATGGCTCTTGCCAGCTTGCTTGGTATGGGTTTCGAAGTGCATGGCTTTGCACGAAGACTGCAAGAGATGGCCAGCATCACGCGCATGTGCATGTCAGCAGCCGCTACAAGCAAAAGCATCATGTCGCTGGCAATCGCACAGTCCGGCCCCAGTCCCTATAGCCCGGATGTTATCAAGAAAGCCGGCTACGACGATGTTGGTGATGAACGCACAGACCACGCACTCTTTCTGGCATATTTGAAAGCAAACCAATGTGGAGTAGAAATATTTGGTGTTTTAATTGATTCGGAGTTGATCCTGCGTGTTCTGGCCCATGTTGCCACCGCATTCCTTGCGCTACTCTCCTACCTGCTGGCCACCCTCGATATCCATGAAGAGGATGTGATGCTGGCACTTCAGCATTTAACAAGCGTGATCCCTTTCAAATTTTCCTAGCCTTCGCTCACTTTCAACATCTTATGTATCTGTCCGCCAGCTCCTGGAAAACATAGGAGCAGCCACGCCAAGCAAAGTTGTTCAGACAATCTGTGCAAGCCGTAGGCGTAGCAATTGCGGCATTGTGGAGCGATGTGGAGCTTTAGTCTGAGTCTTTTCCAGATTGGTCGCAAGTCTCGACAGTCACTCAGCCAAATTTTCAAGTCAATTAGAGACCGTGAATGCACCTTCGACGGGCGCCGTGTGCTTTGAGATATTCCTGCTGCGGGGACTCTTTAATTTTGCTGCATGTTGTTAAAGCTGATGGAATATGTGCAGTCTGCCTGAGATTCATGTGCCACGTCCGAGCCAACAGAGCCGGGAGCCTTGATTGCAACAAAAATCGATGACTTCCCGCTGGGCCTTGCCTGTATATGAGTCCTGACCTAACAAACTATCTGGAAGCGCTCAATGCTGAGGGTTCGCGGGGCCAGGCTCGTTTCAGACTTTACGAGCTCGTTCTGGCGAAGCTGTTGATGCCCCGAACGATCCTGGCATGCACCGAAACTCCCCCATCCTTGAAACCCGGAAAGCCAATGTCCGTGCAGAAGTTACTGATCCCAAACCCTAAGACTAAACCCTTAACCCGGAAAGCCCATAGAAAAAGTTCCCTAAGCCCTAACCTACGAAGTTCGTTCTCTTTTAAGGAAAGCGTCTTGCCCGGCAGCGGCCAGCCTCTTGGCCTGCGAGAGGGCGAGGTGTGGCAGTGTCCGATCTGCCTGACAGGGCCGGGAGGCCCAGTCGGGCTGAGGCCCAGGCGGACTTAGAATCCAAGGGTAAACGGAGGGACCCTTAATAGTAGGTATATGCCCTTAATATGGCTATTTTACACCAAAAAATCAAAAATAGCCGATTATAGGGTCGGGTCCCCATTAAGGGTCTGTTTATTTTCGGAGTTCGGGACAGCTGTGAGGTGTGTTTTTCATGATGGTTGGTGTTGGTTTGTTTGGCTTTTCTATGGTTTTCCCGGGCTCAGTGGCTTCTTGGCGCGGTGCGTGCCTATGGATTCTCAAAAAGGGGTAGCCCAATTCTCATCCAGTCTTTGTTTGTGCACATGGGTAGAAAACTGCGCCTACTTCTTGCTTCTTCTTTCAGGTGAGAGGGGGGGGGGTGGGATTTGGAGGTGGGGGGGTTGATGACGTTCTGTGTTTCAATATACACTTCTGTGTCTTTGGGCGGGAAGCAGTAGATTGAAAGTAACACTGTCGAACATACCGAAAGTACCACGCCTGTCACACGAAACTGGGTTTGACACAGGATTGAGAGACTAATGAAGCAGCAGCAGTAGATTCTCAATCCTGTGTGAGGCCGTGTTGCGTGTGACAGGCGTGGTACTTGCGGTGTGTTCACCACCCAGAGGCCCAATAGTAGTTCTTTTTTGGGATTACTTTATAGGATTCTATATATGAACCCCGCAAAGAACTACTTTGGGGCCTCTGGGTACTTTCGATCTACCACTTCCCTCCGAAGAGCCTCACCAGGCCGCAAGAGCGACCGGCGTGTCCAAAACGCCAGGTTTAAGCGTTTCCAAACTGCAAATGCAACAAAAGTATGCCTGTTTGGTGTGGCAGGCACGGTAGAATTGATTCAAAGAAAATCGTTTGCTTCGAAAGGTCCAGTTATCCCCCCCTGAGATTGTCTGTTGATGGAATCACATCCTCCAAATTCCCACTCTGATTCTTGCAAGCCGACGCGGTAGGGTTTGGTGCCTTCAGCTCTTTCGGTGAAGGTCTTGAGGGTCCCTAGCTCCGCGAATTTGGGATACGATGCCTTCGGTATCGGGCTGTTGGGGTTCAAAGCCGAATGCAAGGAGATTCGGGTTGACTTGCGGGTGTTGGCTCAATCGGACAGAATTTCGGGGATTGGGGAATTGGGATGCCTGTGTTGTTGAAAAGAGGCCGTGGGGTCTCTGGAATGAGTTCTACACCCCCAACAGCTCGTAAGCCAGCTTTGGAATGAGGGCAGCGATTGGGGTTTGTCATGGTTGAGGGACTTAGCTTTCACGTTTTTCCCATGAATTTCGCCTCGCTTAAAGTCTTGGACCTGAGATCAGAGATTTGGGATCCGTCCTGGTTTTTGCTGTGCAGTTGGGTTTGGGTTGTTGAGTGCAGTCAGGGTAGCTTCTTGCGGCTCAATGGACTCTTTCGCAAAGTGGAAACTTAACTTGAGCCCCGGAAGTTTGCACCAGGTGTGAGTCCAGCAACTGCGGGAGCAATGATGGAGCATCGGATCAAGGCGACCGTAAATCTCATGCATACAGGGCCGGGCATTCAGCCTCACAGAAAGAGGCTGCAAATGGCAATGCTTACACCTGTCTGTCAATCTGTCTATCTACGTGTCTCTCTGATTGTCTGATGATCCATTATCGATGTCTGGCTAGCTGGCTTGTTGTCTACCTATCTCGTCGATGCTGCAAGAAGGTAGCTAAAAATTAGTTTCATCAGCGGAGGACGGCGCATCTGTCTACTCTGCGACAGTGACGGCAATGCCTGGCACGTGTTCCACAAGACCTGCGCCAAAGAATGGCTTCTTGTCTGTCCGAGCTTTCAGCAGGTAGGCAGTTGCAGGCCCAGTTCTGGCCCCCAAGCTTGGCAATGACCTTGAACTAGACACTCGACTCGGGCCGCTTAGTAGTCGCGGGGTTGTGGGTTGGGATTCTACGGAACCCAAACTTCTGAACCTCACTAATTATCCAAGTCAATGGCCAAGGCATTCCCCTACTCAAGAATGGGTTTTCCTGTTCTCGTGCGGGTTCATTGCTGAGAGCAAGCGAGCGAGAGAGACAGAGAGAGAGAGAGAGAGAGACCTAGACCTTCAGAAAGAAAGAAAGACAGAACCAGAGAGAGACCAGTCTGAGAAGTAAGTACTGAGACACCCAGAGGGTTGGGTAGACGGTTTGGGATTGCAGGCTTTGCCATGCGTTTAGCTTTGTGAATTGAAATCTCTAGCGTCTACTTGAGAAAGAGCCTGTCTGGCGACCTTGACTCGTAGACTTCAGCGTTTTTGAGTAGGGTTTCGGGATTCCGGGTCATCCCGAGCTGAACATGTGGGAGGACAAAAACAGGCCGGCAAGCACAATCCCTGGAATCTTTAAATCTTTATGCCCCAGCGTCCAAAGGAGCTACATGCTTAGTCTATCTGCTGCTGCTTTATCGATCGAAACATCTATGTGTGTGCGTTTTTGTCCGTCCGTCTAAATGTCTGTCTGTCGTCTTTCTCTCTGGCCCGCCTCCCTCTGGCTCTCTGTCTTTTTCTCTCTCTCTCTCTCTCTCTCTCTCTCTCTCTCTCTCTCTCTCTCCCTGTCTCTCCCTGTCTGTGCTTCCGTGCAGGTTGCATACACCCATGCATGCGCACAGATCTAGCACGATCTAGCTGCATCCATGTTTGGCGTCCGCATAAAGAGGATTACCCTGCTCGGCGTTCTCGCCGCCCGGGAACTTTTATCACAACCCTACAACACGGAATTATGTACGCTGATTTCCCGAAGCCCGAGTCGAATTCAAGCACCAACCGACCAACCTGAAAAAAAACGGCATCCGGTACGACTCGATCCCATCACACTCCCGGAAGGCTACAGCGAAGTGCCACTTGCCCTTTGCGCCTGACCTGTTCAGGGGCTTAGGGTTTAGAGTTCCGAGTTTCTGTGACACGGGGCTTCAGGGTCTGGGATTGAAGGGTTAGGGCTGACAAGTTTTATTGTCTTCTTGGGCTTGTGGCACTTAATTACAATAAACCTAAAAGTTGTCAAGCTTGATTGACCCTGTGCCTGGTTTGCGGGCTCTTGCTTTCTTTCAGAGTCCTGAACCCTGCACCTTACCCAAAACTGCGCAGAAGCCCTTACACTCCAACCCGTACATCGATGATGTTCTGGTTGTCAGGTTGTAGCCTAACTAGTCTCAGCACTTTTGAACCGAGAGACCTCAGCGTTTGGAGTGCGAGTTGCGAGAGCGTAAAGTCAATGATGTTCCGAAACTGTTGAAGTAGAAAGCATGGGAGCCAAAAATCATAGATGTTGCTGTCGGCTTTCTAGTTGAGCAATTTCGGATGCTGTGGGTTCGGGGAAGGCTTCGAGCTCAGGGCGCAGGGAGCTCGGGGAGGTTTGTTTCAGTTTTGGGTTTCAAGATTTTGGGGTTTAAGGCTGGGGCTTTGGGGTTTCTGGTTTTGGGATTTACGGCTTTGGGTTTCAGGTTGTGAGGTTTGGGGTTTCAGGTTCTGGGGTTAATGGCTTTGGGTTTCAGGTTTTAGGGTTTTGGGTTTCAGATTTAGGGATTTCAGGGTTTTGGGGCTTCAGGTTTCGGATTTTCGGTTTCTGTGTTGGGATTCAGGTTTTCAACACTGGTGTAAGGAGCTATACGTCAGGTTGGGATTCAGGTTTTCAACACTGGTGTAAGGAGCTATACGTTAGAAGGGGGCCCCCACCCTGTAATAGTGACTATAAGGATTAGATTAGGGCCCTATTATAATCCTTATAGTCACTATTACAGGGTGGGGGCAGCTTCTAAGCTATACGCCCACTCTGGGACCTGATTGCAGGGTCTCTCCCTGCTTGGTGTGTGGAACGGCGAGGTCACATGGAAGTTTCCGAGAATCACCGCCTCGCACACCTGTAGGCCATATCTAGCGTTATCTAGCGGAGCACGAGTTGTCCGAGAATAGAACGCAGGTAACATGCCTTCACTGACTTGAACGTGACGGCTCCCAGGTGCCGCAAGGAGCTCACCATCGTCTGACGTCAGTGGCAGATAGGGGACATGGACGCGAAGTTATACTTCCAGCTTGCAATCCTCATTTTCTGCGTGACTTGTGAAGTGCAATCGCATGTGTCGCAAAATCTAGCCGACCAGTTCGGGAAAAATGCATTGCTCCCGACATGCGAAGAGACGAGACCTCTTCTTCTGACTTGTTACTATAAGGGGCCCAAATAATTGCCAATACTATTGCGGGGGTTCCTTGTTATGATTATAGTATCAGATACCCGCAAACCCTATTCAACTATTCTGATTATTCAGGCCCCTACATTAGGCCATTAGGCCGGTTCGAGCTTTCTTTCCTCGGATGGTATGTTCTTAGGCCCTTCGCGGTGGGAGCCGGGCGCGAAGCGCATATGTGAGGGATGATAAAAATCACGGAGAGCAGTTTTTAAAGTAGATGCGCTCGGAAGGTGAGAGCAATCTATTTCCTTGTATATAAAACGATAAGAGTGAAATGAAACGATAAGGAATATGAGACACATCCAACAGTTTCAAATTTCAAAGTCATCCAAAGTATTGTACAACGATAAGAGTAGAACAAAACGATAACGCTGTTGAGGGACAAGCAGATGGATACGGAATTTCCACGCATCCTCATGTCGAGAGAGGCTTAGGTCCCGAACCCTACCATTTAGGGAACCGGCTTCATTATAAGGGGGGTCTATATGGGATTTCCCTTGGGCACGGCCCCCCACTCAGTAACAGTTGGATAATATTCATAATCTAGTTATAGATATATAAGGCCCTTAATAGTAGCCTTATTATAGACTCTTACTGTATGGGGGCCGTCCCCAAGATTTCCCTATTCTCGTTTGTGCTTGTGTGCTTTTTTGGGGCCCGAACCATGGGCTGATAAGCTGATTCAAAGGGGAGAAGGAGGGACCCTTAATGGGGACCCCTACCCTATAATAGGCTATATAATGGGTATATAATGGCTATATTAAGGGTATATACCTAGGGGTCCTTATTAAGGGTCCCTCCTTTTACCCTTGGTCTGATTCATGTCGGAATATGGGAGTGTCCGAAAATAGGGGACCCTTATATAGCACCCTAAATAGTAGAATCCTTACGATAAGGACCCTAAAGCAAGGTACCCCCCTAATTTTCGGAAACTCCCCATATGTTGGGCAAATCTGTTACAGACGGTTTCGGGTCCCGGATTTGCAGTTCCAGGTTCAGCTGGATGAGACCATGGCCCAGACCTCGTGTGGGAGTTTCCGAGAATTAGGGGTACCTTATGTTGTTTTGGGGGGGTCCTTATAATAAGGATCCTAGTATCCAGGGTACTATATTAGGGTCCCCTATTTTGGGAAACTCCCGTGTGAAGATCATCGCCCAGCTGGCCCCTTTAATTTGCTCACTGCTGCATTTTGGATCTTAGGCGTGCTGTTTGGAACATCCAACACTGCATGCTAGCTGCTGGCTGATGCAGGGGTACATAACCTAGGGACCGCACTCTATGCTAAGCATAATATCATCTACCAGCGCACACGCTTCTGCCTGTGCGGCACATCAAGATGGCATGGCACGTCCTGCTGCGAAACGGCCTCTGCAAGTTTTGCACTCCGATGGAAACCTCTGTGGTGCGGGGGGTGCATGCCACGTGGTCGAGTATAGCATTCCGTGTCATTCCGTGGAGACAGTTCTCGATGATTATTGAAGCCAAACTGCTTCAGCCAGCCCCATATGTTTGAAAACGGTGGCGTCCCTATTAGCTGCATTCGTTTTACGGTATAGTTATAGGAACAGCAGCAGAGTAAGAATAGGTTTGATAGTAGGATCCCCCAAAGTAGTCGTAAATGCAAAGAAGAAATCCAAGTTCGAGCGGCACGCAATTTTGGGGGTGCTTCTGACTACTCCTAGGATGCCCAGCAGTACCCTTATTCCCTTTTGTAGTCCTAGGTTCCTTATAAAGTTACCCAATACCAAAAAGGTTCCTTATAAAGTTACCCAATACCAAAAAGGGAGCCCTTATTATTCCTAGGTTACTGGGCATCCTAGACTCTTCCCTCACGACTCTTGGGCTTCCTTGCGACTCTTGGGCTCCCTTGCGCGCATCGGCCTTCACTAGCCATTTCCCAGGGTGCAGGGCTTAGGAAATTAGGGCTTTTTGGAGACGTCAAAAGTGTCTTTAAGTCCTATGCGAGCAACCGCTATGATGCAGGATCCTCTCGAGCATCTTATAGTATATTACTATATGGTATTGTATGTGGTCTACAGCCCTTGTATGCCCAAACCCCATGCCGCCGAGGCCCTAAGCCCTTCGCCGCTCTGACTCGTAAATCTATTTGATACTACAGCTTGCAACGCAATGATCCCCAGCTGGACAGACTTCGTCCCGGAATGAAGAAGGCCCTAGTAACTAGTAAGCAAAGCCTTTGGTAACACTATTCTTGGGAGTTCCCTGTTCCCAGTTGTTGTAATTTTTGCTAACATCTGTGACCCGCAGTTCCGTGACAAGTAAAGCATATTGTCACTGAGTTATATCCCTCTTTTGGGAGCTTAATAAATGTATCAAATTACCTCAGTAAGGAAAGGATAGGGGTCATCGTAACTTGAAGTAAGTTCTTCAAGAACAGCCACCTCAAACCCTAAAGCCTAAACCCAACACTAGGTATTCCGACTGTAGCAAGAAGGAAAAGGGCCCTCAAAAAAAACAAAAACAAACAACACAGCAGGGGTAGTGGAGCTAGTTGTGCACCCGAAAAAAGAGACCGAGTCCGAGTTGCGAGGGTGTAGACCTATAACCCTAAACCCTAAAAAAACTAAACCCTAAACCCTAAAACAAAACCCTAAACCTATAACCCTAAACCCTAAAAAAGAAACCCTAAACCCTAAACCCTAACA